TGATCTCTATATAACTTAGACGAGACTGTTTATTTTACGTACAAAGAAATAATAGATACATAAAAAAACAAAAAAAACAATTATAATGTGATTATAATGCGGCGATTGTGGGTTTAAAATCGAAGGATCGAAGTGAATATCCAAGGTTTCGACTTGTTCTCTAGTTTCTAAGCTAAGATTATATAATATATATATATATATATATATGTGTGTGTGTGTGTGTGTTTCAGAGTAAGTAGATTTATCTTATAAAGATATTGAAAATTAGTTATGAAGTTGAAAAATAAATTACATAAAATAAAATGTAATTTAAAGTCCTTTGCTAGCTCCATTATATTTATACTTTTTCTTTGTTTTAAAGTTTCAAACTGCAATTTTGTATATTGTTTCCTTTAGTTCCGAATCTTCTCTTTATCCTAATTGCCCCCAGAGGCACAGCGGTATGTCCGCGGACTTACAATGCTAGAAACCGGGTTTCAATACCCGTGGTGGGCAGAGCACAGATAGCCCATTGTGTAGCTTTGTGCTTAATTTCAAACAAAGAATTATCCTAATTTATTTCGCGACTGACAAGGTCACCCGGTGACTCAGCAGTAAGTCTGAGGGCTTATAACATTAGCCCTCCGGTGGCTCAGCGGGAAGTCTATAACGCTAGAAATGGGGTTTCGATACACGCCGTGGGCAGAGCACAAATAGCCCATTGTGTAGCTTTGTGTTTAACAACAAATAAACAAACAAAAAGCACGAACAATCAGGGTGTGTTCGCGAAAACCAAGCTGATTTTTCATATATATTTTCTCTATTTGATTCTGAATAATACCGAGACTTTTTCACTTAGTTAGCTAATTCAGTTTATGTACTTTAATAGCATTTGTTAAAATGCTTCCATGCTTCCATTGATAACTTTTAAGAGCATGCAAATCGGGCCGAAGAGTGTGTTTGTTAGATGTTTTGTTTACGAAGGTAAAAAATTGTTTGGTGTTTTCCAAGATAATCAATCCTAAAATACTTTAATTGGGTTTTTAATCGTTGTTTTTTTTTCTTCTGATTATTTACTTTTGATTTGATGGCATATTAATAAGTTGATCAAATGAAATAACTCACTTTTCGTATGATAGTAAACTTCGAGGCTTTCCACGAAATCCTCGTGCATGCCAACATCTTTCACTTTCTTTAGTCTAACTTAGACAGGTAAAAAATTCTCAAATATGATCTTTTTTTGTCTGTTTTCGAGAAACATTCATTATAAAATATGTCACAAATTCACAATTAGACAACACACAAAAGATTAAATACTAATTGATATCTTCTTTTGTTAAAACAGGCTCCATATGTTTAAAAATGTCTGTTTGTTTGTTTATTGTAAAGCACAAAACTACAAAATGGGCTATCAGTTCTCTACCCACCGAGGGTATCGAAACCCGATTTTTAGCGTTATAAGCGTATTATAGCGTCAGTTTTTATCAATGTACGTAAGATATCTGTATATACTTTTACGGTTTTTTTTTTAATATTAGTAGTTTCAAAATGTATTTGCAAATCTCCCTTATAAAAATTGCTTACCGTTTTTCTTTGTACCGCAGTTTTTCATAATTGCGTCGATTGTGGGTTTCAAATCCAAGGATCGAAGTGAATATCCAAGGGGTCTTTTTCATCAATTTTACTCTCACCCTCGATATCATAGGTTTCGACTTGTTCTATAGCTTCTAAGCTAAGATTATATAATATATATATTTCATAGTACACAGATTTATTTTATAAAGATATTGGAAATTAGTTATGAAGTTCAAAATAAATTACATAAAATATAATGTATATCTTGAAACTCACCAAGACAACTAAAAATGGCACAATTTATATATCATACCTATAAATTAGAAAGCCAAAAAAAAAAGGCAGACTAATGATTTTTACACACTTGTCTTCATGTTTAAAATGGTTTCTATGCGAAGAGTACAGGAAAAAATTCTATTTTAAACTCATATCGTTCCCGAAAAAAGTACGTATGCACAATATGGCTATAAACCAAGATAAATAACTTTGATACCAAACATTTCTTATCACTGACTAATAAGTTAAAAGTGTGATTTTGAATTTTGCATTTGCAAGCACGCTAATAATGAAGAAGATTCCTGTATTTCATAAAGCTATAATATTGATAGTATTCTAGCACTTTGTTACTTTAACAATGTGTGTGTGTGGTTTGTTACTACATAACGGGTCAGTTGTACTCTGTCCACCGCGAAGAATCGTACTTCGGATTTTAGCGTTTTAAGTATGTAAAGTTACCGCTGACGTATACTGCAGTATGCATTTGTTTTTTTTCCTGTGTAAAAATATCGTAAATTCAAGTAATACTTACTTGAGAACAATTTAAAAAAAATTATGATTATTTCAAAACTTGGCATTAAAATTACTGCGAAGTTTTAAAAAAAAGAACAATAATAAAATGACACAAACCGAAATTTAAACTAACAAGCAAAACGAAACAATCTTTGAGAGCATTGTATTTGAAAAAACAACAGCTAGATTATTGATAAAATGAGTCTTCTGTATTTTAAATTTTATTCTTCCATAAACTTCTATACAAATTGATAGCAAATTCTATGCATAATTGTTTGATAAAATTTATATGTAAGTTATAAAATCATGTTTATGTAATGTAATGCTAAATTAAAACATATATATATATATATATATTTTAAAATATTTCGACTGTTATGTTTTACTTTTATTCTTATAAAATCGATTTGTGGTAATTAATTGCGAGTTTTATTTCAAGAAAGTCTCCTAGTAAGTCAGCGGTTTGATTCCCTGCGGTGGAGAGAACACAGAGAGCACATTGTGTAGATTTACGCTAAAAAAAACAAGAAAAAATGACCTACCAGTTTCACAAGTTAAAATTTTGAACTATAAATAACAACAAGATATGTTTTCTAACACACACATATCTACTTTCAGTTTCGACAGATTTAAAGTCGACTTGATAAAAAAATGCCAATATTAGCTTCTGTCTATACTCTATAGTAAGCTCTCACATAAAACTCAAATCTAACCGTTAGATGTTTTATTTGACTTAACATTAAAGTCAAGTAACAAAATGATCAAGACACACAGTAGTGTGGTCGTGCGGCCAAAACAACCTGCAGGATACACTGTGTGTTATTAACAGGCGTGATAGTTTAGCGATTTTCCACTTTTTGTAGCTTGGACTGTGGATATCTAAACTATTACATATTTACAGTGGATATGCATTACTGGACCCTTAATTCACACACCAAATTTCAAGACAATCCATTAAGAAATACAGAGATATAAAATCTCAAATTTTGATTAAATTTCTTCCTTTTTTTCTTCGCACCGAGAGTACGGAAAATTTATTTGATAGAAAAACATACTTAACTTTTATACAAATAAATAAATAAAGATAAAATTTAGTACACTGATAGATCTTTGCAGCTTACAATTAGGTGTCAAAGTTGGTCTAAATATAAGCCATATGTGCAAAGTTATTCAACAAAAACCATCCAATTTTTATCAAATTTTTTTGCACGCCTACGCAAAAAGTCACGTGAGCTATCGGTCTAAAATTTTACTACAGCTTCACCTAAGAGTATAAGTTTTTTAGTTTTTCATCAATTGGATTAAAGACGGCTGATTTAGAGCAGCAAAACTACAGGGTGAAAGCACGTGCAAATACCAAAGTATTGGTTAGGCCAAGCAAACTAGATCAGCAGTTTCTAGCTCAAGTTTTCAAAAGAATCATACGATTGGACGGCTACCATTTATTGCCAACTTTTAAACATAAATTTTCTAACTTTTATGAAATTATTCTAATTAAAGAACGTCTAGCACCACGTGATATTAGTTTAAGCAATTAGCGTAATGATGCTTTATACATCTGTACCAAGTGCATGCGGGTGATGACAAACAACTGTTAATCTAGATACCATGGCGTTACTATAAAGAAAGTTATTAACACTGTTTTAGAGAGGGAAACTACCAGCATGTATTTTAAAGAATCTGGTTGGTTTTGTAAAATATAGGTGTGTTCCGAATAATAGGATTGCGCTCCTAAAGTTAATGTTACTTATTATCGAGTGTCACTTTCTTACCTGCTGTAGTTTGTTGGTGTGCATTGACAAAACGTCATGATATCTAATCAAAAACACCATTGGTGTGGTAAAAAGGTGCGGTCTAAAAAGGACTGAGCTTGCGACTAAAAGGAATGAAATTAAAATTGGCCGCTAAACTGATAGATACACTTATAACGCTGAAAAGAATTGTTACAGCAAATATTCATTCATTAGTTAGCTAGGCTGTGTATTTTGTTTTACCCACCACCATGCCCCAAGTTGAACAAAAAAGGCGAACAGGCTAACTAATGAATGAATGTTTGATGTAAAGTTCTTATCAATGCTATAAGTGTAGCTACCAGGCTGGCCACCATTTTGATTTCAATCCCCCTCCCCTTTGCCGCTCATTTTTTTCACGCCTAAGGTGTTTTTGATAAGATATAATTGAATATATTTTATCGTTTCTGTTACTATAGATAAAATAACGTCCTACATCTCCAATATGTACCTTTATTAACACAATATTTCACTATTACAGATTCATCTTTTATAGAAATGTCTAGTAATACAGTTCAGTTTGGGTTTGAACAAAGTTAAGAATTTAAAATTTTGCCATTGTTATTGGTTGTGTTCTTCAACGACCACTTTATAATTTATTGAAAAAGTCATTTCAGTTAAAAACAAACCTCTTATTCCTTTGTGTAGAGGGCGATTAGGAGAACTGAAGGTTTTTAATTCGAACTTACTTTTGAATATAATTAAGCATATCTTTCACTTAAAACTTTTACGTAATATATCTTAATTTCTATTATATGAATAGTCAATATTAGTGGATCTTAATTATTAGTTAAAGATAATCACATTATATTTAATATTACAATATACACTGTGTGCGAGAGTACCTCACTGTGTCATGGCTTTTAATGATGACAGTAGAATTTCATAAGTTAACTTTTCGAGATCTCAAAAGTATTTAGATCTAAGCAAGAGTGAAGTAACTTGAAAAGTTATTAACATGACAAAGAAGGGCATTAATGTATACCATCTTTAATAATTAAGTAAATCCAAATAGTTTATTAATTTCTAACTTAAGGCTCAGGCGCCTTTTTCTTACCTCGAGTGATGACAAAACGTTGTTTAGTTTCACTTTTAGTTTTAGCGTAGTAATTAAAGGCAGTAACGCCGACGTAACGTATTGTTACGATCCATCGACGATAGGTTGTTTCTGTAAATCTTAACGGCTTAAACAGTTAAAGGGCCCCTGGAAGCTTTTAGTTTACTGAAATGTATTTTAATGAACATTTTTAAACTCGAGTATGTATCATGTATGAATGTTTTGTCTTGTAATTGCGGAAGGAACTCTGACCAAATACAGTCACAGAATTATATGATTTTGTGATCATGAACTACTATTAGTATTACTAATACTATTGACTGTTCAGTGTATTGTATTTGTACTAATGTCAGGCTTAAGACAGTAAAACTTAAAAGGCTAAAGAACAGTCTGTTCAGTGTAATATATTCAAATTCAAGCCTTCAACCAAGGAAATAAAGTTGAACTTGAAGATGGCCTATTACTTATGTCAGGCAGGTAAGTAATAAAAAAGAAAATTAATAGTGCTGTACTGTGTATGTAGTATTAGTAAAAGTAGTAGAATCAGTGGAAAAAAGACATGGTGTGACCATACCCAAATGATATGCACTAATGATGTAGCATTAGAACTTAGAACATCAACATTAGTCATGCAATAAGTATTTATATGTTGCAGCTCAGAATATGTGGATAACATAATTTACAATACTTTAAATATCTCTTTCAAGAGAACAAAACAATAAATACTATACAGAGTTGAGCTGAAGGTAATATATCATTATGACTTGACTGTTAAGTTATGAAGTAAATGTGACTTGTACTATTAGTTTAGGCCTTGGATTAGAAGCATGATGTTACAGTAAGTAGTAAGCTGTTATTAATTTGTATGCAATATATTATGTGATTTTTCTATGATAGTGGTAATGAGTGATATGTAATGATGAATATTTGTAAATAGTTTCCCACCTCTAAAAGAAACCGTTCTAAGTTGGTTCCTTACATTGGTGTAATCTAGTACTAGCATGTCATGAACTTGCATGAACCTCATTGCATTCTGATTTATTATTAAGTTCAAATTAAAACATGTGCTATGTGTCCATTAATGAAATATTGACATTCAACATTGTTAATTTTAATTTAAAAGTAGCATAAGAACTTATACATTTTAATTTATGTATTCTAAAACTGCCATTGGAGCTTTTACTTGCTCTTACTTAAAAGTTAAAGAGTAATTTAACTTATTCATTATTATTATTACATATATTTCCAAACCCTGCCCAGAGGGAAGGACAAAAGAATTAGGTGTTGGTGTTATGCATAATACGTATATGTAATGGGCTTATAAATGGTTAGTGAATCTGCAAGACTTGCTAGTCCCTATGGCAACAAGATTATGAGCACACTGCTTGCACATCTGCAGAGAGTTGGTTGGCAAGAAAAAAAAGCACAAGGATTGATATAAGTCTGTTTGGAGAAAAATAATTGACTCTACTAATTCAAGGAAAGAAAATGCCTGTAATCTGCTGTGTTGATGGATGCATGAAAAGCTTTAAAGAATGATTTTGTGTGAATTTCTTCAGAATACCTGCTATCTGTGAAAGGAGATGTTACTGGTTACTAGTGATTAAAAGAAAATATTTCAATCAGGCAATAGTACATAAATTTGTAGCAAACATTTTATAAGTGGTATGTCAGATTGCTTATTAAGTTGCTTTGTCATTGAAAAGAAGACCAAAAATACGACTGTTATTTCTGAACCATTTTTAATTTATCATAGTCATGATTTGTACCTAAGGTAATCGCATACATGACTGTGTGAACTTTGCTTACTTATTTAATTAAAACCTTTTAGTACTAAGCATATACCTTTTTATTCATGTTTATTTTTTATTCTGACCATATATATAAAAATTCAATGAATAATTGAAATTTTTCATAACATATCACAGAAATAGCTACCATTATGTAACATCAGAGTTGATGTTATAACAAAACAATAGTTTTTCATAATGATATTTCTAACATTTTTCTGATCGCTTAGTTATACTGGCATGAGAAATGTGCATAAGCAAAAGCTGTGAGAACATGTATAATGTACACTAAATGGTATTTACAAATGTAAGTTCTGTTTAAAAATTATAAAACTGTTATGTTAGGCAGGAAAGAAGATTAGTTTCATTTTATCATTATAATATCTGTCTTTATTTAGTATTTTTGTTGATGTAGGAAGACCATCTGGTTATCCTTTTAGTCCAGATTATGTTCAAAGTGTAAAATAGTCTGAAATTCTGTTTAAAATCAATATTCTTTCACAACACTTTCACATGTACAAGTTCACTGCAATCACTAATTGTCTTTTGCTAACTGGCTCACTGCAAATGCTTGTAAAGTTGTATCATGTTATTCTTATGTTTATGCTATTAAATGTGCTTTTTATGTTTAATCTGTAGCATATGTGCAAGTAAAGCTTGTTTTCTGTCCTAGGTGAAGAAAGAAGACCAGACAGGATTAATGACTTTCCTCAGCTTTGGAAGTCTTATTGTAAGTGTCATACTTTGATAATGTGGGTATACAAATATTACATACATAAGTTTTGTTATTGCTATTGCTTATATTTTTTAAAGATAAAAGACAGATGCATCTCTTAGGATGCATTTGAGTAAAATTATGTTTAAATGTTTAATATATCTATATAATTGTATAAAAGACAATATTGCATTGTATGTATGTGATGATGTGAATATACTTTGCACAAATAAAAAAAAGTTAATTATACCTATGCCTGATTAAAATTTATTCTCTGTAAAAATACTCGCTGGCATTTTAAAAAATTGCATTTTTTAAACATATGCTATCTAAAAATCAGTTTCCAATTGTTACTTCGTTTATAACATATTGTATTAAAATTGCTATTTTTTGATTTAACATTATTTCATATTAACTAAGATAACATGCACACAATAATGCATCACCTACATTGCCTAAAGCATTGTACACGAACATCATGCTTTTTGGCAGTAGTATAGTGATACTGGATAATTTAAAGGCTATGCATTAAAACTGTGTATTTTTGAACATTAAGAAATAATGAAAGATTTATTCACTTATCACTCACCTGTTACAACAATACTGCGAACAGATAATTCAGTATTGTTTTACACATTCATAAGTCTGTTTACAACAGTGTTGGGTCCTTAAATATTATAGCTATGCAATTATAACTTCCAGTATAGTATAGAATTTTGTATTAATCTATGTTGCCTATACAGCCCTAAAGTAACCTAGATAAGTTTAACAGAGTTAAAATAATATTAATATTAGTTAATATATTCCATGACATAAAAATTTTAATTGTCATAGCTTTACCCTAAAAGGTCTGAAACCTAATAGAGAATAAGTAATAAAAACTCCAGAGTCTGATCAGATAACATTAGTTTTATTATGTTGATATCATTGTTCAAGTTCTCAACTGAGCAGTATGGCCTAACAAGAGGCTAATTTTCTTCTTGTTATCAAGTGACTATAGCTTATGGATACTTGCATCCAGGTTTTTTATATCTTTTTGTTTGAAAGGATGCTTGTAGCTGTGGAAAATATTTTGTATTGCATTATATAAAAAAAAACTAAATAATTTGAACTAGTAGGTCTTGTTACAGTAGAATTTTAGAAATGTAGTGCTATTATTATTATTATTTTTTTTGCATTTTATTAAAATTTCCTGTTTATATAATTCAGAATTCTGTGTAAGTGCAACCTCTGATTAAAAATAATGAGTTGGTAAATATTATATAATTCTAGGAACGTGTAGTAAGACCAGTTTATTGCATCATTATTTTACTTGCATATCTATGGTATTTTATATAAATAGCAACTTAGCTTGGTGTTAAATCAATCATCTTTCTCAGTATATTAACATTATTTCGTTGACCAAGTATTGGGAATATTGTTTCAGTGCATAATATTGTAATGTATTATAGGATTTTTATATTAAAGTATTATTTTTACAATTTTAAATAGCTATTGTGACTATAAATTAAGGAATTCTAGTATCTTGTAACAACATTCAGCATAACCAGTTTGTGCTCAGCCATAGATTTACACACATTTATCTAAGAACCAAAACAATATTTTGAAACCGTTTTAATTTTCTGAAAATATGAAATATTTAACATTTGACTGATAAGTTTGCATTCTATAATTGGATGATAAGTTCAGTTTTTACTAGTGATAACAAAATTAAAGCTGATAATTTTCAAAGAGAAAGGAAATACTTTTAACTTTATATGATAAATATGGTCAAAAGACAGTTTCTTTTTGGAAATAAATATATCTGTTGCCATCAGCATTCCAGGTGACTGTTTATTTTGCAATTTAACTCTTCCACCCCCCACTCCCCTCGTATGGTTTGGTCAATGTGGCTGACCTTGTAAACACATAATATGGCATATGTGTGTCTTTGTGAAATATGAGAAACTTTCAGTAAACGCTATAAGTTTTTCTTTTATGCGAGAAATTAAATTTTTTAATTTAGTATGTTTACTAAAGATTTGTTCATGAATATATGGAGTCAGAGTGTTGACTGGTCCAAGTGCAAAGTGGTTTTCATATCATGATTAAATACACTTTTCTTCATCTGAAAAGTCTCATATTTCATTTGTGTAACATCTAAAATCTCCTAAATAAATATGAACAATTTTTTGAGTAAAACTTTTATAATTTATCTGTTATTTTCTTTACCCTAACTCTAAATGGTCTCAGTCAATTTGACTGCCCTTGTAACCACCATAGAATAAATATGAAATAAATCTAAATAAGCCTTTTTTCTCTTTGTAGAATGACTGCAGATTGTTACCAAAAACTACAATTGATTATCCTAAATAGCTTAGGACTCATAACAGTCTACATCTATTTGTACTTAAGTTACGTTTTTACTGCCCTTTATACTGTGTCTAACTAAGAAACCTTCCATACAAGTTGTCAATCACTTGGGGAATGTGTAACTCGCATAATTGTATTGAATGACATTTTGCAAGAACTGTTCGTGAGCTTACTTTTTGAAGAATTATCTTTTCAGTATCTTACCTAATCTAACCTTATTTAACCTAATAAGTTTCTAATTTTTACATTTTAGTTACTTTTATAAGGATAAATAACAAATATACATGGCAAACAAGGAATATAGTACTCTGGCTTGTTTTTTTAATGTTCTTGAACCTTAAATTTTGTACGTGATCATGTTTCATTTTTATAAGAAGAAATACTGTACAGAAATAAACCTATCATCCCATAAATAGCTGTTTTAAAATTTCGTATTGTTTGTTAGTTAAGTGGATAACTCTAATAGTAAACTGTCTTTATCAAGTCTTGTATGTATCATATGGATTAAAGTTAAGAAAAAAAAGACAAATTATTATAGTTACAATCTTCACATTTGAATCCCTACAATCATATCTAAATATACAATACTGAACATCTAAATAAACATTTATTGCTATTGTTGCTCATTGGTTATTACCTACCTTTCTAATTGTGGGGAAGGTAATATTTTTATTGGGTTAAAGGTACAGCAATAAAAACCATAAAATTAAAATGAAGTGGATGTGAAAAGATTTGAAGCTAATGTTGTTCGGATAAAGAATTTGTAATTGTGTGCAATCATTCTATAAAAAAATGGTATTATTTTTATTTTATATTTTTTTTAACCTTCTCTTTTATCTTACATAGCTGATTTTGCTACATTTAGCATTAAAATAGAGAAAATCTAAAATTCAAAGTTTAATGAAAAAACTTTTGATATTCATTTAGGAGGCTCTACAGGATATGCAAGTAAAATATGAAAACTGTACAATGAAAACATATTTTTATTCTAGACATGAAAATCATCTTGCATTCAGACTAGTCAGAATCTCGGCCAGACTAGCTCTGTAAATTCATAGCCAAATCTTAAATAAAATACTTTATAAAAAAAAATATATTTTTTTTACAACACACGGATTTGTAATGTTTACTAAAAGCGTGTCAAATTTCATAAAGACACAAATATTAAGTTCTGAATTTTTGTAGACATTAAGTCTCGAATATGGGGTCAACTCGGTAGACAGACCCCATGCATATAGGTTTCAGTTGATATCAACTACAAATTTCCAAAACAGTAGTACAAATTAACAGTATAATAAATGTAAAAAAAAGGATTAGTTAGCTGTTGTATGTCTCGTTTAGCAGAAAAATGTCATGTCTGTGTAACTTTGTTTTGTGTATGCTTTATTGACAAGCCTTCATAGTTATTATTTTTGTAATTTCATAAACCATCTAGTACTGAAATTATGCTCCTTATTTGATACATTGAAACTTGATATAGCTATTTTAGAATCTAGCTATTCTTGTAAAGTTAATTAACATGCTAATATAGGTTAAGTGGTTATTGCATGATAAGCCTAATTAGTATACATGTGTTTATTTTGCACACTATGTGACTTGTATGATGTATAAAGAGTTTTCAAGGCATAGTTGAGGCTTTAACCATGTGTAACCATTGAGAGCAAAAGGTTCTTTGCCAAACACCAAAAAAACATACAGACAGTTAACAGGGGATCAGATGGTTGCATTATGTCATTCTGTTTTTTTATATTTTTGGAAGACTGTTGTGCTTAGCTTTGGTCAGAAACAGTATATATATATATATATATATGGCAGATTTTGTTAAACAAGACCGATGTCTGT